AAAAAAAAAAAAAATCCAGGTGACTTGCTCCATAAATTTCTACATAAATCCTTCCACTGAGCCAGAAGAATCAATCCAGGCACAAAAGGATTTGTGCGTGTGTGCATGTGTATGTTTGTGTGTGTGCACATGCGCATGTGTTTGTGTGTGTGCACATGTGTTCCCATGTGCGTGTACGTATGCGTTTGTGTGCACGCACATGTGTGTCTGTGGCTACAGAGACTCCACTTTTGTCCTCAAGGAGGAAGCAGCTATCTCTGATAGGGGGAAGCCAGTCAATGAGAGTCAATGATTGTTCCATGCTTCCAACGGTAACTAAACCTTCTTAATTGACATACAATATTTTCAAAATGTTCATATGTTGAAATTTGGAGGCTTGAAGTCTTACAGACTGAATAGAGCATAGGCCCTGGCAGATTTTCAACCTCTTAGCTATGTTTTTGTGAATAACTTACTCATCTGTTGTTCCTGTCTCCCTAGTTGTAAAATTGTAACAATAATATTACCTACTTCCTAGGGGTGTTTTAAAGACTAAGTGATATGAATATAAAATATTTATGCCAGTGTCTGGAGAATAGAAATGCTCAGAGATATTTTAATGGCCTCAATGGTTGTTCATGCTTTGTCTCCATTGAAGTGGCTGTTTCTTACATATGAAAGCCTACCTAACGCTCATAGTGGAGATCCTATCTACCTATAAAGCCTTTTTGAATCACTGCTGCCAAAACTAAACCCTTTTTGCATTGATTCAGTTTGCATCAATCATAACACATCACTCATTATTTCCTCTATTAAGAGAAATACACATGCATATATATTTTACCTCCCTTGTAAACTGTAAGCTTCTTAAAGGCTAAGCCTACATTTTTAAATACTTTTTATCTGATACTTTGCATTGCACTAAGCAAAGGAGCAAGGGATACTTCCTTAAGGACACATTTTAAAAGCTCAATACTTCCTAAACCTCTTTTCAAGCCTTTAAAATATGTCTAGACTAAATCCATTCAAATAAAGTTTTCACAGTTTTTCTCTTTTCATCCATTGACTTAGAATCTACAGTATGAATTTTCTTTGTTAAGAAACTTGAAGTAGACTTTTATATTGCACCCTTAATTATAATCAACATTGCTTTGGAAAAAAAAAGAGTTTCTCTAATTAACTTGATATAGAAGCCTATTATTAAGACTTTTATATCAAGTCTCCTAAAAAAAAAAAAAAAGAGAGTCTTTTTTTAAAAAAGGCTATTTTTCTAAGGAAAATACATCTTCACTAACATTGGCCCCAGCAAGCTGCCTGGTTCCATCTATAGAAGATGCTTAATCCATTCATTAATGAAAGCAATTTCTGATAACCAAGCTGAAAGTCAAATACAATTCCAGTGTTTGAACTTAAAATGATGACACTGATGAAATGGATATGTAAATACACATAGACCTCTTCAAGGTACAAGGTATTTGTACAGCTTGATGTTTATTTTGGACTCTAGCCCAATTCTTTACTTGAAAGGTCTATTATAAGTATTAAAGGGAAAATTTCTTTCATCAAACAAGGGCATTGCTGGAAATAATTTTCATGATAGAAGCAGGGTAATTTTTTATGAATTATTAAATAAGTCAAAAAGCAAATGTATCACCAGAATAAAAGACATTTCCTGAAACAAATCCTGTACCTAAGAGAGGGCACAATAATACGTAGGATGCTTATTCCATCTTAGTTTACCTAAAGGAAAACTGGGGAAGAAGAAGGAGAAATTCGAAATATACAAATGATTCCGTGATTATGTATGTGGTAAACATTTTCAAAAAATATTCACATCATCAATAATGAAAAAAATTCCTTCTCTTACACAAATTTCCTGACTATAATGCCTGCGAGACTCAGAAATAAGCTAACAAGGGATGTTTTTCCTCATGGGCATTTACAGGCAAAGAGTAAAATTCTCATTAAATGTTGTAAAAATGCCTTGATCAAAAATCACTTTCTGTTCTTTATTTTACAGAATAAACTTTTATTTTTCTGTTCTTCATTTGATAACAGTAGCCGAACAATATTTCCCTCCCTTAAACAAAGACTTCAGGTTTTAAAATTCATTATTCTAACTTACCTTTGACCAGAGGCCTTAAGAATATCATTTAAATTATAAAGGCCACAGATAATCTGACTGCAAGAAAATCAACAGAGGCATAGTCAGCATGTTGACGACACAGAGAAAGGGTTAACTATGTCCACTAAAAAATTCTACCCGGGATTTTCTGACTTGTGTGAGGTTTAGTCCTTCCTTCTACTGATGAGCCAATTATTTTTTATGTCCTTTTTGTTTACTTTATTCATTTCAGCCTCTTATCTTTGTTTTGTGACCCTTAAATAATGTGAATTAAGCAACAAAAACAAGAATTTCCGTCCTGGAGACAAAAGAGTGTATTTCTAGAGTGCCACCGACTTTGGCTGAAGCCTACCCATCAAGTTTAATGGCACTCTGGCTGCCAAAACCCCATGAACCTTTGAATATTTAGGGCTAAATGTAACTGCCACTTGCTCTCCCTCCCTGTTGCTTCCCAGATTTCTGCCAACTTGTTTGTTCTCAGTTCTATTGATGGCCGTTTCTGGCATAATCTTGCGTAACTGTTCTCCAATATTGTTCATAAGGCTGGGTACATTATGACATGAAAACAGTTTTTTTTTAAATGTGTATTTACTTAGAAAAATAAATTGTACTACAGAGGATGGAATGCTACTTTCTAATTTTTTTTTTCATAAAAAGATAAAAACTGGACCCATCTATACTGAAAAGAAAGTTTTCCTAACCTCCTTCCCAAGACATAACGTCTAAGGAAACCGTGTTTCAAAATATACATTTTTGCATAGAGATCTATTCATTTCCTCTCATTTGGACATCTCTAGCTCTACTTTATTTGTGATAAAAAGAAAAGTATATTTGAAGACCGCTGAGATTGCTCAGGTAGAAAACAAGTACATAAATTAAATACATATTTATATGTACCTTTAAACAAAACTAACATTATTTTTACTTTTCTTAATGTATCCTAAATAAATATACTGAAACACAGCATTTTCCCCTCAAATTACAGTAAATTTAGACATAATGCTTTGTGTTTTATCTTGGAAGATTACATACTTTTTTATATTACCCAGTATTTCGAGGAGATTTTATATTCTAGACAGTAAGCTATGCTAACCATAAAGTCATATAAACTTCACAGATTACAAAAAGTCAAGTACTGAGTAGAGATTAAAGTTACACAGTGTGTAAGAACGATCTGTCAGGTTATTTCTGAAGCAATAAATAAGAAGAGGTAAATCTTTGTCAGCGCCCAGGATCTATCCAAAATCGGCTTCTATTATAACAGAGAGTTATACATATATTTTGGAAAAGAGAGAAAGACGGTGTTGGCACTTCCATTCATTGAAAAGTCAAGATATAAGGGAGTCCATTTCCCTTTATAAACATTTGCAAACTGAGCATTAGGTCTATTTGTTTTTAAACCTAACTTCATTCAAAAGGCTTGAACTTAAACATCAACAAAATGTTTGATTGTTGCTGCCAGGTTTGTAAGAATATGACACAACAAGAAAACTACAAACCACTGCAGTTGCTTCTCATGTCAGTATTGGCCTACAAAACTCACCCAGATTACAGATACTTACCATATTCACTGTCATAGAATATAATGAATTTCTGCCAGGCGTACTCTGTGACCACTCTTAGGATAACATCATTCAAGTAGACAGGTGGACGGACCGAGAGAGTGTAGTCATCATTCCTGTTGCTCCGGGTGAGTCCACAGCCACTTCTGGGGGTCCCAGCTGTGGAGCGCTGAATGAAGAGGTGGGGGATATGCATGGCATCTGCCAGGGACTGGAGGGACCCTGCTGACGTGCAGCCGATGGAGCTGACCAGGGCCAAGATGCCTTGATTCATGAGTTCACAGGCTGCAAGAAAGCACAGCGATACTCCAGTTGTGAATGGGGCACATGGCATTTTCCCTTTTTGAGAAACACTGAGTAGATAAGGCTTCCGCAGTTATCAAACAGCTATGTAATTTTTTTTCTTAAGGAAGATTCTATATGAGGAGGTCCTCAAACTACCAAGCGCTATTGGGATTTAGTTCAAGAATTCTGCTCTTAGTAGCTATGTGACCTTGGGCAAATCACTTAGCTTCTCTTGGCTCAGTTTCATCGTCTAGAAAGGGGATAAAATGGCATGACTCCTGCAGGGTTACTGAGAGGTGAGAGATAATGCATGCAGGGTTTGGTATTTGCCTCTTCAATTAGAGATAGCTAAATTTTCATAATTATCAATTTGTCATTTAGAGGAAAGAGAATTCTTTACTGAGTACACAAGACAATGTTTCAAAAAGTAGATAATTTTGGGCAGTGCCTGCGGCTGAAAGGAGTAGGGCACAGGGGACCCATATACCTGAGGTGGCGAGTTCAAACCTGGCTCCCACCCAAAACCACAAAAATAAAAAAAAAGGAGATAATATTTAAACTGTCGAATGAATGGAGGGACATGAAGATTTGGAGCAAGGCATTACTGGCCAGAGAAAACAGCCATTTTGGTGTTTTCTAAAAATGTGATGATACTTTGTTTCCCTCAATGAACAGGAGAAATAAAAATGTTTTTGCTTTTTCCTTGACAGTCATAATACTCATGGTCAAGCCAGATTAAATAAGATCCTAGATTTCAACAATGCTCTAGTCTGGTTCCTAGATGAATAATTTCTAATTTATGCAACATGGCTTATAATCTGACTGAAAGTCATTTTAACTATTCTGTTTATGTACTTACCTACAATGTCTTAAAAACTAGATCAAATATAAATTATCATTTTGAATAAATACATAGTATATATAGAAAAAAGAGTTACAAAGTTATGCTTCATCATGACAATATTTGAAATTAAAAGATTAGAAATAAATTCAAAAGTAAAATCAGAAAGAATCAAGGCAAAAATTATTTCTGTTTATTATTTGCTCAGCCTTTAAGCTAGTTGTTTTCAAGAGTCACAATTTATTATAGTTTTTAATATGATTCTTGAAAAGGTTCAAGGAAAACTTAGATGATAAGTACTCTATATATTTAGTAGGCCAGTTAGTAAAAGCTGATTTAAAGTGCAAGCTTAGAAGTACTTAACAATGGCAAGTATATAAACATCCAACAAATTTATTATTATTAATATTAAGCCAACCAACACATACATACAAAACAAATGAATAATTATTATGAGCATATTTTTCAAGCACTGCCTCATAAGGGAGGTTATATTGATTTGAAATAAAATATGAAAGATAGTTCCAGGGTAAGTGCTTCTTAGACCATTATAGATCTTGTTGGAAGTTTTAGTCAAACTCACACATTATTCTCATGGCCATGAATTCAACTTTTATAGAAAGCAATATAAATTTATACTTATAATTTCAGTGAATTTATGAAAAATAAAGTTTGTCTCATTATTGTGGTAAAGAGCACTGCTACTGACATATAGAAACAAACAGAAATCTGAATTTTATAAAGATTTTTTTAAAAGCTTAGTTCATTTAGTATTTAAAATTAAAACAAGAAGAGTGCCTTAAAGTACATACATTTGGATTTAATCTGTAGATTAATTACAAGTGATTAAGTAAATGTAACATTTATATTTACTGCAAAAGTCATAAAGTTATAAATATAGAAATTTAAGGCAAAAATTCATTTTCAGTAATATATCCTATTACATGGATATACCATGGTGGAAAATTGCCTGTTTTAATCTTTAGAATTAGATTTAAAAGGATCAACTTCAAAATTAAAAGTCATGCATTAATCTTGCTTAGCAGATAAATTTCCTTTAGCATATAATATTATTTCTTCCAATTAATTATGTTATTTCCTATTAATGACTGTTAGAAAGAACACAAACTAAACAAATATTAAAACCAGTTATTTTTATATAAGTGAATGTGTTTTTTTGGATTACTATTTGGCATTACCTACCTAATATGCTTATACATATTAGCAATAGTAACTGAAATTTCCCTGTAAAACCAAAATGGATATCATTGAAAATACGATGTCACACCTGAAACATAATTTAGAGGTCATGCAGTTCAGGGATGGAAACTTGGTTTTACCTGCTGTGCCAGCCATGACTTGTTGGTAATATGGCATGCTGGAACACTATATGGAGAAAGATTCTGAGATTCAACAATAAAAAGGACCAAACTCATTTTGTGAGGTTTCTCATAGACACTGGGAGACTTGTGGCCTGCAAGTTATAAATGTGCATTCCTCTGACAGTGCCAAACATTTTATTGTTTACGGTTGTCAAGAAATCACACATACTCCAGTTTAAAAAAAAAACAAAATAGAATACACAAATCCCTAATGTATGGCCCAATGTGCTTTTCACCACAACAGGCAACCTTAAAGTTCTGAATGGCAATGGAAAGACAGAGCGGGTGCTCTCCACAGGGGGAACCTCTATTGGTCTAGTGTCAGGTGTGGTATTAGAAAAAGTCATACCAAAGAGACAAGAAAGCGCTTATACTGCTAAGATGGATTGGAACCCACTGACCCAAAACACAACCTGAGTCGTGCAGATATAAAAATGGGCCTACCCAGTAACTTACCATTTCCCCTTCAGGAGTGAGTCTGATGCCCTTTTGCCCTATTTTACCCCAGGTGAAGCACACAAGACACAAATAGATTTGCTTTGGGCCTCGACCATCCATAAGGCCCAGATGAATGTTAGTATAAATAATAGACTATAATTCATGACAGCTCCAGAGAGATTTGAGGAAATAAAGGGCTACACGAAGAACAGAGACAAAGCTAGGTGAGACAGTCTAGCTTGTACAAGAATCCCATGTCTTAACTGTTAAAAGAGTTCAATATTGAGTTTCAATTCCAGAGAATGCATACACCAGTTTATTAGCTATAGTGTAAGCACTGCATTTGGGGAGATCACAGTGTGTGTATGGATCCTTTTCATTAAAAGAATCCAAGTCAAGGACTTCTCAATGGTATATTTCTTTGTCACTATAATTTCGAGCTCTGTGATTTATTTATGCTATGTTTACATGTACACACAGACACATGAACCATAGTGAACAGCTTGCTGGTTCTGCGAGTCCAGTGGTTTGAGATTTTAACACCATCCGAAATGTTCACAGACAGCACTAATTGATGAAAGCGTGCCTCTTTTTTTCTGATAGTAATTGCAATCAGTAGCACTTTTATTCTTTTTGATCAATCAGCAGCTATGTAATATAAATGTAAAATTAACGATGTTCAGGTACACTATCTTATTCATTTCTAAAGTTAGACAGTTTGAGTCTTTTGCTTATTAAGTAAAGTAAGACTAAAACTAAATTCTATAAAGCATTTGGAAATGGATTACCTGTTACTGTATATTCAATGAGAACTCAGTGAAATATTTTTTGGATACCACCTTTCTCCTTGAACATATATTCTTGTGATTTTTTTTCTGACTTATCTATATTGACCAATTTGTCCTGATATAATTTCTTCCAATGGTTTTAAGTCATATCAGGACTTTAGTATATTCCATTTTTACACTGCTATAGTTTGAGTGGGTCCCTCAAAGTTCATGTGATGGGAACTTAATCCCCAAAGTGGTGGTGTTAGGAGGTGGGGCCTAACAGGAGACCTTCATACATGGCATAGCCCTATTGAGTGGATTAACGCTGTTATTTTGGTAGTGGGCCCCTTATAAAAGGACAAGTTCGGACCTTCTTGCCTATCTTTTGCCCTTCTTGGATGAACAGCTAGAAAGCCCTCCCCAGATGCTAGCATTCTGGTCTTCACTTTCTAGCCTCTAGAATAAATTACCCCATCTTGGATACTCTGTTATAATAGCACAGAAGGGACTAAGACATAGACGTATTCATCAACACACATATGTCAGCCTCCTTCAGATCAGAGAATGTGTATGGCATGCTCTGGCCTCAAAGAGCTCCCAGTCTGTCCACCACAGTGTTTCCAAAATCTGCCCTGAGTCACAAGTCATAGAGGAGATTTCAAAAAAGTACAGATAACTAAGCCCACTCCTAGAAGTTTCACTTCATTCAGTCCAGTATTAGCATTATGAACTGTTACTGCATAGTTATGATGTGTAACCCTTTCTGGAAAACATGAGTCTGTTGAATTGTAACTGTGGTGCCCTATGATTTAAATGTGGCAGACTATCAAATATTTATTGATGTTTCCTGAGTTTTTTTTCAATGATTTTCATGAATATTCAATAATGCTCATAAGTAGTGATTAAAACTTCCCAATCTGGGGGCAGCACCTATGGCTCAAAGGAGCAGGGCACCAGCCCCATATGCCTGAGGTGGTGGGTTCAAAGCCAACCCTGGTCAAAAAAAAAACTTCCCAATTTTTCAAATTCTCTCAGTTATAGATGGGGTGAAGTGTAGCACAATAAGATGCATAAAGTCAATTTAAATATAGCACCCTCAAAAGTGATTCTTATCTTCTTTTTATTTCCAATAATAAACTAAGAAGAGTTTATTCAATCTAGTTTTTGTAATTCAGATGTAATATACATTTCTACAAGTCCAACATGTAATTTCTTTATTTTATCATATTTACAACCGAAACATATTTTTAAATTGATTAATAAATTTAATATAGTAGATTATTTTTCCTTAAATACTCATCCATGATATTAAATTTTACAATCACTAAGTTCCTATCAATGAGGAAATAAAGTAAGCTTCCATGTCAAATGTAAAGGATTTGTATTGTTTCTGCAACAGCTAAATTTAATCTCATGTCTTTGTTTCTGTTTATTTCATTAATGAATCACAAATATAGTATTTATAATTGCTCTTTTCGTTTTTCTTCCACTAAAAACATACCTGACCTTTGCTTATATGCTGATGAATATAAAACACTTATAGTCTATTTAGACATTTAGCATTCATTG